CTATCCTCTTTCTTTAGAACAATGTTACATGTACTAATACTTCCCTAACTACCTACCTAAGTATTATTGAAAGTTACTCTTTTATACATACGTCCCTTTTTACACTAAGTATCATTATTTAAGTCAGATAACGGCCCATGTATCACTAAATGAAGGCCTTCTAAGTGCCTTTCTGTTATTTTAGGAACCTATTAACTAATATTGAGGTTCAAAGTGGAAAATCCTAACAGTACGCTGCTGAATTAATTTGCCAAGCCATTTTGAACTCTAACACAAATGCTGTAGAGACCAGATGCGTTTTGGTAGAGCGAAAATTCTGTTGGCTACGATATATCATTGATATTTTCGAGTAGACTAAGACTGCGACAAGCGAAATTGGACTTAACTTGTGTTAGATAAAGTTGTTTTCGGAGTATTGCAATTTGTCTTTCGGGCTCACAGTGTAAGGAATATAGCATCTTGGCAAAATTTAAAGGACTCTTGGATTATTAATGACCAGCCTTTGGGGTGAAGTGTATAATGCTTTTATTTATTTCAACGAGAATTTTGGGCACGTAATATTTAGTATTTAGGCGGACATTTTGGGAGTTCTTGCAATACTGCTAAAAAGCATTCATTTTATTAAGCTACTATTAGCTGACTCTGCGATGTTTCATTCGTTCGTTTCAGCCAAATGACGTCCACTACTGGACTGGCCTCCCCCAAGGATTTCCACAATGAACGGTCCTGCGCTGCCCGCATCCAGGTTCTTCCCGCGACCTTTAACAGATCGTCGGTCCACCTAGTAGGAGGCCTGCCCACGCTACGTTCTCCAGCCCGAGCTGCGATGTTAGTAACGCCTGAAAATCAATAATTCGATATTTGTGACTCCTCTTATAATCGTCTGATTGAATTTATTGAGGCCATGTTGTGGCGTTGTGGGTTTCATATTTAAGCAAGTAAAATTAGTTGAGCCGTTTTTGTGTTTAAAATGGTATTGTACCTAACAAACTTAAATTAATTTGTTCTATGAAGTTAGTTAATGTAAATTTTAGAGTACTTCCAGTTATTATTGACATACGAGTTTTTCAGGTTTACAATTTCAGTTGTCAATTTAACCTTTTTAAATTAATTCAAACTGGTATTTAAGCGTGTGATTCGTGAAGTATCCTGTGACATACAGACTGGGTAATTACCATCGACTGCATTACGTGTTTGCAGTCCAAAGATAATTGTAGTTCGCGCACTGACATGCTAGTAATTATCCGTTAATTAATTAACTGTAACTAACGAACTCCGCTGTTTATGAATCGTCGAATTAATGGAATCATGCGACTTTAAAATACATCATTTAAAATACACCACATTTTCGTTGCAAAAACATAAATATTGTAACAACATAGTCATAAGGTTGACTACAGGGTCACGCTCGTATTAACAAACGATGCTTGATTAAGTGAAGCAGCAAATCGAACGCACAGCATTGAATAGAGCTCTGTGATTGGTTCGTGTGTAACCCTGTGCGTACACGCGCACTGTGAGACCTTATAGTAATGTTTGTGTGACTATTACAGGCTACGCTGAGGTAAGATATAATTTTAATAGTTTTTCAGTAAGCTGTTGAAAGTAGACCTACCAATTAGTAACTCATACTCAACTCATTACCCTACCCATTAATCACTCAACTCAATATCAACTCACAGAGAAGATTTTCTGTTAACTAATACTCTTATTTTGTAGTCTTAACATAGATAATACAATAATATTACGAAGGTTAGTATGACCAACAATTTTACACTATAAAGGAATAAAAACATCAACATGATGCAATAAATAATTATGATTATGACTATTCAAATCCTCGAATTTTAGTTCAACCAGTCTGATCAACGTTAATTGAAATCTATACTAATGTTATAAATGCGAAAGTAACTCTGTCTGTCTGTCTCTCTTTCACGCCTAAACCACTGAACTGATTTTGATGAAATTTGGCATAGAGATAGTTTGAGTCCCGGGAAAGGACATAGGATAGTTTTTATCCCGATTTTTGAAACAGGAACGCGCGCGATAAAGTTTTTCTGTGACAGACAAAATTCCACGCGGGCGAAGCCGCGAGCGGAAAGCTAATTTCCGAACGAGCTTAAAACAAAAATCTATTCAGTACCCACCTTATTTCCCTTTAGCTTCTTACGTGTATTTTGCATAACTCATCCAGCCCATCAAAGAGTTTTTCACCTTCATGATGTCAGTGCCCAAAACTTTGCCGCTTACGTGACCCTTAAGCTCATATAGATAAAGACGAAATTTATGCTCATTGGCTGCAGAACAACTTTGCTGGATGGTTTCATGTATTAAGTATTCAAGGGGCTTCGGAAAACATTTTTTCTTCTATCCCAGTTCTTTTTAGGGCGCTGTTTATTCGTATAATAGAGGAGAATGTAGAAGGCTTAGTGTGAGTTTAAGTAATTTTATAAACTATCATGTGTTTTGTTTGTAAAAAAATTGTGTACCTACAGGGTGTTAGGTAAATGGGTATATGAGCCGACACTAGCCCATGTTAAGATGGGCATATAAATTTCATAAAATCCGATTTGTATGAAAATTAAAATAATTAAAATGAAGATATAAATTTTCTGACTTCACCATACCATTTATATGACCATGTTAACATGGACTAGTGTCGGCTCATAATTATACCCATATACCTAACATCCTGTATGTATACCCAATGCAGATACAGTGTCCTTATTTTACTCATCTTTACTGCTTCTTAACACAAAAATGTTAAGTGGGCATTTCTTACTAATAAGTGTAGAGTTTAAAAATTGAATTTCATCTGAATCCTGTGTTTTTCCCTCTATCTTTTTAAAACGACATTTTTCAATCCATTTTTTTCGGTTCCCTTACAGTTTTTCAAACACTTTCTTTGACACAAAATTTTGTGCTGACAATTACAAAATAACTAAAAATTACTAAAACAGGTGCAGTGGTCTGGAAGTGATGCTCGTATACTTACATTCTGCAATTTTTAAAGTTATTTATCTTCAAAAAGGAAGCCATTAGCCTGCATCTCCTCACCACCTGGTTAGATTTTTTCTGCAATTGATTTTTACATACATTTGCACCTTTTGTATACAACTATCTTGTGGCTGAACCCTTTATTTGGCATCGGAGCTTGGGATGTGTTGCGGTACCGTAAGTTTCTTCGTAATCTACTTGGAGGCATGTAAATAGGCTGCCTTCTGAATGCTATGAAGTGGCCTCTAAGACTACAAGTGTGGGATGTGTTTATTCGATGTAAACTTGAATTTCTTTTAGGTATGTGTTGGTTAATTAAGTAACATGTGAAATTATTCGTTTCGATGCCACTTTGAGGGGTTATTGCTCTATAATCACTGCGTAGTTCACTATTACTGACTTTTTTTCTTTAGTGTTTGTTAACCTTACCATATCCTAAGGCTGGATTGCATCATCTTTAACTTTGACAAACGTCAAACATGTGTCAAACTCCATACAAAAAACACCGGTTACCGTTATAGTTACGGTCAAAGTTAGGGTGGTGCAACTCAGCCTAAGCACAATGTATTAGAAAGTATTTTTAACTGTTATTTGCATTGACTTATCCTATTAAGTCCTATAAGTAAGTATTTAATTTTGAGATGAAAAATATGAATTAAAAAAATATTTATTATACTGGTTATTAAAAAGGTAACCAAAGGTTCCTCTTCTTTTCAAGTAACAGACTCATAGACAAAGGTATTCAAGGATTTCCTTAAAGACGGTTCCTATGCTGCCAGCATCCAGGTGCTTCCGCGACCTTCACCAGAGAGCTTAGTGTGAGTTGACATCAAATGTCGTCACTAAAGCGTCGTGAGCGCGTCAAAAAATGACATTAAATGTATGACGGATTGCACAGCGCCCCCGGAAACGCTAGCGGAAACTTTCAAGAACTAAAATTTTCCTATTTTTTTTTTCCTCAGGTCTCCGGTCCACCATCTTAAGGTGCGCGGTTGGCACTCGAGAACATTAATTTCTTCCTCAACGTCTATCCGAAATACAAAATATTTAATTTTCTACCTGGCACCTTTTTTAACTTTTTACAAGCACACAGATTATCTAGATTTTCCATCGCTCGTGCTCAATTTAAATCTGAATAAAGACGTGCCCCGAGAAAATTGATAAAATTAGTTTGTTATGTAACGCCACCCCGAATAATTGAATTAGTCTGAGAAGATTTTGAAATTTATAATTTAATCCGTCTCAAGGTGGCTGAGGTTATTCAATTTCTTAACATAATATTTGTTTTAAAAACTGTTCTTCTAACTAAGGAGTGTCCTTTATTTTTAGGTATTTGTCCGTTAGAAATTTAATGTTATTTAAGCACCTACCCAATTGCCTCAGTTTTTTCATCATACTAAAGCCTGGTCCGTGAGCACGTAGAATTTTGTCCAATGACTCCAAGCTACCCATTCTTATCGATCGCGCGTAATTATGTTGCTGTCCCACTCGCACACTCTCTGCGGGCGCCCGTCGCATTGTCGCGACAGCAATATAATTACGTGCGAGCGATAAGGATGGGTAGCTTGGGGTCATTGGACAAAATTCTACGTGCTCACGGACCAGGCTTTATATAAATATTTTTGGAATAAAATAGCAAAAAGATGTCATTAGAAAGAAAAGCAGTCTTTCGCTTGCTGTCTTGTCGTCATTTGTACCTATCAAACCAAATAGTCTAAACAAAACGATATTTTGGACTTTATTATCGTTCAATTCACTGTAGAATTCGTCTTAATTTTTGATAAGAAACAACTTGAATTATACCTAAAAAAGAATAGGAAAACTAAGGCAATGTTAGAAAATTGTAATTAGCTACACAAAAGCTTCAGTTACGGGATTTAGTCGTAGGAAATAAAACTAAAGGTTCAATAATGAATTTTTATTCTAATTAAATTTAAGTGGAAACATGAATTATTATAACATGAATCTAAAGAAGGAAACGCTATTATATTCTTAATTATGAAATACTTATCAAATTAAAAAATGTCTTTCATTGTGTTGTTGTTCAAATTATTATAAATAAGACGCTAACTAGGCCCATGCCAGGTATGGCACGACTGTACGGTATCCCTATGAGAACACACTCATTAGTAGTAAAAACAAAACAATTAATTTTAAATTACGCAAATTATAATTGAAAAACATTTTATTCTGCAAAACTGTGCCGATAACGTGCTTATCTCGAGTGCGGGTATAGAACGCCACCATTTAAATTCTAAATTCAAATTCAAGGGTTCTTAAAAACAACGTTCGAAAACAGTAATTTTTTAAACGAGTTCAACCAAATGCGCCGCAACCATCATAAAATGTTCGACAAAGTAATGGATGGCCTCTCTACCCACATTCATTAATATGTAAGCTCATCAGTGCCGAATGTAATCCTACTTATGTTAAAAACGTTTAACAACTTTTTTCTGTAATTAAAAACATACTTTTACAATTTATCTTTATTTTTCATCATTATTTTGAGAAGGCACATGAAAATTTCTTACAAATAAATGAATAAATCGATAGTGCTGCCGTATCATATTATTTTTTACTAAAAAGCAAAACTGATTCGTGAATGCCAAATTGAAATTAATATTTGAATCGCCGCGCCGGCACGCATGCGACTTGCGACTAGTCGCGAATACGAACATGTTAGTTCGTTACAAAAAGTCGCAGCCAGCCGACAAGCTCAATCAGTCACTTTTACAATCTGTATTTTGCGCTTACATTACGAGTAACATAATATCATAAACAGGTCTTACATACTATATAAAAATACAACAATATTCATCGGATAAAACTCCCCTGACTGTTCACATACAGATTAGTCAACAGAGTTCCGCAGTGGTAAAGCCCGGTCTGTGAGCACGTAGAATTTTGTCCAATGACCCCAAGTTACCCATCCTTATCGCTCGCGCGTAATTATATTGCTGTCGGGTCATTGGACAAAATTCTGCGTGCTCCCAGACCAGACTATACCTAGGTGATATGCCACAGATTAAATCTTATTTTGTACACGCTAAAGTTATTTCATTTACAAAACGTCTATTAAAACTCAAATATTTGGATGCGGTTCTAAAACCTGAAGAGGTATTAACCCGACTGAACTAAGTTCGTAGAGACGCTCAACCTTCCAATGACTTATCTACCCATGATAATTATTTTAATATTTTGATCCCAAATCAGATAATTCTTATAACCAGTATGCATTGTTCGATACTCAAATGAAATGTAAAGTAGCCATTGATATATGCTATAGATATTCCATCATATAAATGATATATGAAAAGTTCCTTTTGATCCAGTATACAGATTGAGTTGCAGTGGTCGAAACGAGAAGAGAGAATCGCCCCACTTTTGCAAGTAGCGACAAAGTCGAAACCCTGTGGCGTTTAACCCCGATTGTGACGCGTTTGCATCAATAGTAATAACGCTACAAAAGCTCTATCCAACAATGACAAATGGTTCGATACGAAGGCATATCTATAATATACATCGATGGGTGTGGCATTTAAGATTACGCGTATATACAATTGTATAGCCGATAGATTTAGCAACGTTTCGGAGCAAGCAATACGATTTGCCCGACATCCATCTATAAAACATTATCGTCAGCTCCCCAGACAATATTTCAATTTATATTCCATATTTCTGATGAAATACAAAACCCTCCCACGCCCATTTTGTTTTTATCAAAGTTCCGCTAGGGCTGTCACAATCTGTAACCGCGCTTGCCCGAAGTTAGCCCGCATACACAACAGAAACAATATATTCGCACACTACTACTACATACACTACTAGTAAGAAAAATATATAATTTTATATCAAACTAATTTATGAAAGCTCGTGAAAATATTTTCAGTAGTCACATGAAATTGTCTTTTACATTTTTTAAATACTACAATAAATACTAATTGAACTGATAAACCAGCTGTCAAAGAAACCTTTTTAAGCGACAGTGACGCAACAACAAACAATCCAAACAAATCGGAGTTCGCATCAACAATTTATAGTCAAAGGACTTTAGAATTCGTAGATTTCACATTTCGTTAAGCAGAAAAATAAGAATTCGTAAACGTAAAATTATTCCAACAATTATAACGAACTTCTTATAGACTTTTAAAGTCTGCGGTAAGGGAAAAATAAGCGGTAACAAGCAGTTAAAGATGGCTCATTCAAAAAGGCATTTCAATCTTAAAAGCAATGTATTCAGGCCTACTGTGAATTACAACATTTAGACCAATCGCAGGCTTGAATTCATACTTGAGAGTTATCTCAGAATACGCACAGATTGCCAGCACTTATTTCAAAAATATTCCGGCACTTAAAAAAACTTCAGCTAAAAATATGTAAGTTGTAATCTAGTTATTCTAAAAACCTTCGACAGAGACAACCTTAACACTAAAACACGCAAAACTTAAGTTTATAGAAGTAACAAACGAAAAATTCTTAGTCATGTCTTTAGGTCGTGCTGCTTCCGTTGACTTGTTACTGGTATCTTAAAACTTAACCCCATTTATATTGCTTTGGTTATGTTTTCGTGAAGTTGTCTTTTCAGTAGAGAAATGTAAATGCATATCACAACTGGCCTCGAATGGTGTCAACCGAATACCAAAAAGCTTTATCATAATACGTTTATTTATGTTACATTTATTTAAAGTACAAAATTTCAAGAGTTCTCCCTTATACAATTTGTTTTAAAACATGTCTACTCAAACTATGGAAGCCAAAACTTGATGACGTAGCTAAAACATCGTCTACAAAAATGCGACATAAGTAATATCATTATACCCTATGCATTATTGTAAACATATGCATCTAACGTTACCGAGATAGCTTTTCTATAAACAGTTTTAAAACAGTGGTCCTATTATAGTTTTCGAAATTTTAAGAAAATACAGCAGTGGTCCGAGATTTGGTTAAAATCAAAAACGAGTCTTCAACATTAGCCATCTTTAAAAAGTTGGTTAAATATTCAAATTCGGCTAGAATTCCTGTAGTTGACAAACTATTGCTGAAGTCTCAGTGAGAGTTTCATAGAAATTTAGAAGAGCTATCCCTTTCATTTAAAAATGATCTCAATATATTCATTTGATTGTGGTTCTGACCCTGCCTCGTTTAAGCGATATAACTAGTTCATGGTATCAATATTATTACAAATTGTTATATCCTTACCCTACACTACAATAAGCTTGACAAAACATTCTAGGCCGATAGGAACTGAAGGCTGATAAATCAACGTCTTGCCCCACTCGGAGATGTCATTGAAATGGGTACACCTTCTATTTTCCACATATAATTCAATAGCTTTCAAAAGCATTATATTACTGCAAGTTTTAGTTAAACTGCACTCTTGGCTAATAAAATAATGCCAAGGCCAACAACCATCATGATACAACGGTAAGTGACACATCCGAGTGGGACTTATAAGTTACTCCACTAAATAAAAAAGTAATAGTTAAAGTCAAACCAATGGGTGCTATATAAAAACTACAAAATTTTTAATAACTAGAAACAGAAAACGTCGAAGAACGTGCAACTAAAACAATGCAGAAAAATAATCTATCCTTATACAAACTCTCACTTATTTTACAAACTTACATCCGAAAGTGTAAGTCATTGTAAACAGCCCAGTGACTGCTAAATTCGCCTTCGATTTTAACGCCTCGCACATTAATACATCCCATTAAAATATTTTCATACACTGATTGTACGATAGCAAATTTTTCATTCATAATATCAAATGATTTTTCATCCTGATAAAATTTTGAGGAATCATCAATTTTATTTAAATTACAAATATCGAAATTATAATGTCTTTTAAAATTGGTCATGCCAAGGAATTCTCCTATCGTATGACTTTAATCTTCTAGATGTATCTTTACGTTGTTTTTAATGTGAAGATCATTTTAAATTGCAATAATATTATGATTACTATTGAAAGAATACAAATCACTTAAATTTTTTTTACCTGGATCATCGTTTCCACTTCCTTTATCATTTTCAAAAGTATTTTCTCAATCAGTTCTTAAAATCATCTTCACACCAAAATCTTCACATTCCTCGACATCTATCGATACATCGTGTAAGTATGGAGTCTGGTCATTTTTTTCCTGGGAGAGACGTGCAGCGAGGCGAGGCGAGGCCAACCGGGCGCGGTCCCTTCCAACTATGAGCTGTCCGGCTCTTCCCAGGTCACGCTTGCCCATTGGGGCAGCTCCGTCTCGTACTCCCAGCCGGGGCCCTGTAAAATAGGGACCATTGACAATTTCGCAGTAGGAACAAAGGTGGTCTTAGTATAGAGCCCTGTGGGCGTCCTAGAAATAAGTTAGCTTTCGAATGTATAAAATATGACCTTAAGGTGGTCCCAGATTAGAACCTTGTGAGAGTCCTTGACCAAAGTTGGCTTTCGAATCGATATGATACGCATTATCATAGTTTTGATTTTTTTTACCGGAACTCTATATCGGGAAAATTGTGAACATAAATGGCGTGTATACGCCAAAAATTCGTCATTAGATTTTGGAACATTGGAGTGTGATGCATGATGATGAAGACGGAAAAAAACTCAAATTACTGCGGATTAGTAGACAGAGAATTTGTAAGGCCACTAGTCTCGACTCATCCAATACTCATTTGACATGTAATGAACATTATAAATAAATTTCTTATTCTTATTCTCAATCATTTATTGCTTCCATTATGAACTTAAACACTAGCCCCCTTATTAATAAAAATATACAAGTTAGGATAAACTCTGAACTAAATGACAATTTAAGCCAGAGTTCAACTAGGGTGTAGCTTTTATTCATAAGGGGGTAGAACATTGGTCCCTTTTACACCTACCTTGTACTTCCAAGCGTGCAAGTACATGACCAGATCGCGCGGGCGCGGGTCCCGGTACCTCACGCGGCACTCGTAGCAGTGAGGGTCGGAGGTCAGGGCATCCGTGGACCCGGCAGGGGCGGCGGCCGAGCTGGTCGCGACCGGGTTGCAGCCGGTTTGGGTCGCCACCGTCACTTTGTCTGACTGCAAACGGGAAGGTCATTTTAGTGTGCTGCTTTTTTGGTGAGGGTTGAAATAAGAAATCCCACATAAGCTGGATAAGTAGGTGATTCTAAGTGAATATTATATTTAATACCAACCAGCCATAACATAATATGTAAAGGGCTTTATGTACTCATCAACGTGAACTAGTTTAACAAGATGATTTAATTGTAAATTCAGAAAAAAATGTAGATAATAATGTATTTCAGATCGTTGAAGTAAAAAATATATCAATTGATGATTTAGAATTAGGCACCCTGATATTATGATCTTGAATGTAGGCAGGGCAGAACCAGTCTTTGTGGGAGAGGCCTTTGCCCTGCTATGGCCGAATTTTGCCTGAAAAGAACGAACTCTGATCTACACATACCTTGGCATCGTTGGAGTCCTCGTTGAGAGCAGGCGAGGTCGCGGGAGACGGCGCCAGGGCGCAGGGCGACGCCACTTCCAAGGGCGCCTCTGCCCCACTTGAAGGGCTTGGCAGAGTCGCTGTAAGAAAAAAGACTGTCAGTATGATCCAGAAAGAAATGAGCACTGAACGAATGAACCAGGACCATTTTCACCTCTCGTTGCTGCCGCTGCACATCATGTATCAGAACCTGTAGCTTTACTGTTAAACTAATCCAACTAATAAAGTCTAAATTAGTCCCAAGAGAACGTTAAGCTGTCATTTTCATTGGATTCGCTGTGCGAAATAAGTCAGAGAACGAGCAAAAAGAGAACGATTAGAAGGATGAATCCAATGATTTTCTTGCCTCCTATGTGATGTATAATAGTCTAGTTGTAAAGAAAAGACATCGCGTTTTTTTTATAGATTACTAATATTATTTGTGGATATAATATTATTTAATGAAATACACACACTTCTAGGAAATAAACTTACGCGTCATGATGGTCGAGGGGGTGACCCCGGGCGCGGGGGATTCCAGCCGCGGCGACGACTCCCGTGACGCCGGACCGGTGTCGCAGTCATCTTCCACTATAGGAGACAGGTTATAAGTAAGTAATTGATTACAGTGCAATCAAATGAGGAAATTCTTCATTAATTAAAGAAGAGTTGGTTTAAGACATTGTTTGCTAGTTTCATATTTTAGTTCTTTTGGAGGCAAATTAGGAACATAGTACAGTGTGGCGCTAAGTTAAAGTGTGTTTACGAAAACAGTAAAACTATGCAGCATGAAACTTAGAACTCCAACCGTCAATTGGATCTTCATTTTCAATTTTATCATTCGCCAGCTTACAGATGTTATCTATTCAGTTAGCTTATCATTATATCTTTATTTCACCTGTTTGGTTACCCCATAAATCATCTGCTTTACTTCTTGTATCGCCTATTTGACACTTTATATCACCTGATTTAGCTTTATCATCAGAAGCAGGCTTCGAGAACAGCAGATCATCGTCTGCCGCGTCCACTCCCAACCAGTTCTCGGCGTTGTGGATGGCGATGAGGTCTCGCACCAGCTGCTCGTCGGTCTTGCCGCCTGTGTCACCGCTTTTGCCCTACCCTACCGCTCTTATGTTTACCCTACTACTGTACTATCAGCAGTACACCTAGTTGTACCTTTATCATCCGAAGTGGGCTTAGAGAACAGCAGGTCATCATCCGCCGCATCCACTCCCAGCCAGTTCTCGGCGTTGTGGATGGCGATGAGGTCTCGCACCAGCTGCTCGTCGGTCTTGCCGCCTGTGTCGCCGCCTTTGCCGCGGAGGGGCCCGAACACCGGGTGATTGTAAAGAGGGTCGTTGACTACTGGATAGCCTGGTGGAGAATTGGATATGTGCAGAAAAGGTAAGTCAATCTGAATAGATTATTCAATATTATATAGAAACTCCTAGATAGCCAGTATCTACAGTTTGGCCAATAAAAGCCAATAAGTGACGACGATTGAGCAGCACTGGGGGACAGCTAACTGTCAGGAAAAGTATAAGATAAGGTTTGTGTTAGCGACAATAATCGTCATCAAGTATAGGCGTAGTAACAGGCTAGATATTCATAATAAACTAAGGCCCGATTCGACCAAACTTTTATCCGAGATTAACTCCTGGTATAACTGGCACATTAACAATTTCAGTATGAGAAATATGTCAAAACTGACGATTTATTCTGAGATTAACATATTTTGCTCTTGTTTGGTCGAATCCACCCTGAATGTAACAAATACAAGAATAACAGCGAGTATAGTCCAGGATATGACCTTGGGGTAATACTCGAACTCCTGTAAAAAATTAAGTAAAATATTATATGGTTATAATTTACCCAGATACTGCAGATGGACCCTAATCTGGTGCATCCTGCCAGTCTTTGGCCGGCACAGCACCACACTGGTATTGGAGGCCACGTTGTAGCCCAGCCTCTTGAACACGGTGGAGCAGTCCTTGCCCTTGGGAGAGACCTTGCATACTCCGATCTTGTAGCTCACCACCTCTATCGGCTCTGTGCATTCGATTTCTTCACTGGAAGAGTAAATGTTTGTGAGAAAACCCTACAAATAAAGGGCCTCGTTCACCACCTCCGAGCAGTGTCAAGTGGGCTAATCGTTGCTTAAAGTCACGTGTTAATCAGGAAGTAACTACTTAGAACTTTACTCGGATATCGTGAAAGAGGCCCAAATATTCGTTAGCGTAAATAACGTAGGACTCCAGTGTTGAATTTTTGGAATATTCTGGGAAGGGTGACGTTTTATTGCTCGGAAAAATCGACAGATCAATACAGTTTTCCAAGAAATAAATTTATGTAAACGGTAGCAAGCAAGAAACAGATTCGAAAGGTGATAACACTTTAAGTAGGTACATGATATTGTAAAAAATATAATTGATTTTGTTATGATAGAAGATAGGATTTTCTTCTGCGAAACTAAATAACGAGTTGAGGTACAAAGTTGGTAAGTCTCAAGTGCACCCGCTTCTGAATTCCCCAATGATGAACTGAACGTGGATTTTCGAGATGTCAAAGTTATGTAACTTAATATTTAATAAGCTGTTATAAAATCGATTCGTTAACCGCTTTGAGGTTTCAACTTTGCTAACAGCGAGTTCGAAAATTCTGTGGGTTATTAGGTATTTAGAGAGTTATATGGAGTCAATAAACGAGCTTAAGCTCGAAGTGTCAATATTAATTTTTTTAAGACTTAAGTATTAAATCTTATCCGCTTTTTATTAATTTTTTTCTTAAGAATTTTCATCAGTAACTAATTTAATTAAACTTCAATTTCTTTATGCGGGTACTTTGTTAAAACCTGTCAACTTACTCTGGGAACTCTCCATCTACCCTGCAAACGTACTCCTTCTGCACCTGCCTGTTCCTGATCTGATGTTCCATCTGCCTCGCTTTCTTAGGACTCCGTCCAAAAAGCAGAAGCCCTGCCAGAAAAAGGGAATATGAGCACTTATGCCATTATAATGATTACACTCAAACAAAAAGGCGTGAATTATTTATCAACTGTTGTGCCGATAAAAGCTGTGTATTGACAAAATCAAACAAAAACATATTCTGAGAATCTTTTTTCCTTAAAAGGCCCTTTTGATCAAGACCATAAAACAAATTCCTGTCTCGAAGCACATTTCAATAAAGGAAAGGAAATAGAATATTTTTTGTTCGTATTTGAAGAGTATTATAATGATCTTTCAAGGGTTTATTTGTATTCATGTATGTTGGATAGCATTCTGTAACCTTTTCTCACAATAAGTTTAATGATTTTAATGTTGGTGTAGCTTCATTAGAAATATAAGGCTACAGAATTTTCGGTCGACAGTATAGTTGGGTTGTTAATCAGTATGAACGAACATGTATGGAAATGCGCATATTAGGTATACAGATTTTTGGTATCGGCGGATTCTTCATACAAATTCGAAGCCGACCAAACTAACGGCCGACTAAAAATCTGTAATCTGCGGGGGGTATAAAAACATGATATTTCAAGATGTTACAAGTTAAAAAAGTAGCTACATGTTTCACTATTACAAATATGTAATAGTTGTTGCAATGAGGGCTATTGTCTTAGCGCTCACCAGTTAGCGCCACTGTAGAGTAAGGTCCTGTCACTTGCTAGTAGCGAAGACAGTGGCGCCAACTTGTGAGCGCTAAAGTGGTAGGAGGACTATCGTATTTGCACTCATCAAGATGGCGCCACTGTAGAGTAAGGTCCTGTCAATGCCAACTGTTAAGTATAAAAACGATAGCCCTCATTCACGAAGGCAAGTGAGCTTTACTTAGTACTTACATGTGTGGTGGCTCGCTACTGTTCGTGTTTCAAAAGTTTTGATAGACATTACACACACAAGTAAAGCTCACTCGCCTTCGTGAGTTGCAAGAACAATAGCTTGGTTGCACTGATATAAATCTTACTAATATTATAAATGCGAAAGTTTGGATGTCTAGATGTTTGTTACTCTTTCACGTAAAAACTACTGAACGGATGTTGTTGAAACTTGACAGTATTATTGTTTGTAACCCAGATTAACAATAGGCTATAATTTATGCCGATTGTAACACTAAATTTCACGTGGGTGAAGCCGCGGTTTGCCCGTTAGTTAACAATAAATACCTGACGTTAGCCTGTCCAGCCTGTGTATGGTCCTCAAGTTCTTGAGGTTGTACTCCTTGGCCAGGATGAAGACGACGGTATTGTGCCGGTACCTGCCGCACGGGTGAACCTGCCGAGTGCAGTTGTTTATAAGCACTTCGCCTTAGATCTCGTCTGAAGCTATGAATTTTAAAATTTTGCAGTGAACTGTTCAAGGACTTTTAGGTATTAAACTCTTGATTAAACGTTGGAGAAATATGTTGGTGTAATCGAAACTTTTGAAAGTAAATATTTTCTTTTTAAAATCTACTAACACTAATTTGCAAGTAATACTTATTTTTTTTTCAAATTAAGGATTCATCAATAAAAGCTAAACAGAATTTTGATCAAGATTTACGGTGTAACGAAACATAGAAGCAATCATTGAAAAATATGACTTATTTTCGATACATTTACTTATTTAAAACAATAAATTAATTTTAAGGACAACACAAATATTGTTAGGCATGCAAACTAAAAAGTATATGAAGCAGGATTAATCTCGTTTGCAGAGACATTGGCGCAAAACTAACACAGACAATAAACATTTGGTAAAAAACCATGGGATCTCATTGTAAAGAATTGCTTTCTCTTGTAGATAAACCCATGTTGGAAAATCCATAACATTCCCAAAACAAAATCATCAAACTAGACATCAATATTGAAGACAATACAATAATTTACTTAGATTATACTTTATTATCTTTTATTTTAGGAAAATTATTAAACTGTTAAAGTATTGTCAGATTTCGCATCACAAGAACCATTATAAATGTAAGTAATGTAGTAAATTATCTTTTTTAATCGGTGAGCCATAGATTTGTTGATCATTACCTACCATCATAAATTACAAAATTTCTGCAAAAACGGGTGCGTTGGAAATAATTCCAAAACTAAATCTCCTATGATAAAGGTGCCAAGCTAATCTGGCTCACTGACTAAAATCAGACGTGTGAAATCAAACTGCAAGGTAGACTGCTGTACCACTTCCAAGTGGCATTGACGAGACCCTGTATGGCTCAGATCCATCGGAGTATACAGTCTCAAACTTGTGCAGATCACTATTTCATGTCAGACTCTGATGGCGAACTTTCCAGTTAGTGATAAAAACCAATGTGTAATGCCAAAATGTGTACATGTTGATATATTTGGAGTAACAGATTTCGCAGATAAAATATCTGTGAAATATGATAATAAACAAAATTTGGTTTCTATGTTCTTGCTAGACACATACACCATCTAGAAGAATCAAAATTTTGACGATAGTTTTGACACAAAAAGGTGCATATGCAATTGTCCCCAGTATCATATGGGTGGCATTAGCCTTATGTAAATTGTGTATTAAAATTTCGAATAACACCAAAACCTTGCAAGATGCAAACGACAAAAACCAAGCAGAGTCTGACAGAATTTGAACCGATTTGACTCACCGGCAACGAGCAAGGCTTGTCAAGCACGAGTAGTTCTTCGTCCACGTGTATGATGCGCAAGGGGTTAGCGAGCACTGGAGTCTCGTGCCTGGCCCACCATCGACACATGTCATTACATTTATAAAGGCGATCTTTGGATGTATGTAATGCACTTAAGATATCTACGGATTCAGCTAATTCTTCATTAACATCAAAAGCAAGAGTTTTATTCCGCGTCAATGGCTGAGTTAGAGCTATTTCTGATCTGTGTGGTTCTAATGTAACTGATATTTAAAAAACTGTGACTGATATTTAGTATAAATTTTGAATACGATATCTACACAAAGGGATGGAAAATATGACAAGGTCAAGCCTTGAAATGAACATTGTTGAATCTTTCAGCATAATAATATAACAAAGTTATAAAGAATATCGCATGAACATCTATTGTGAAAAAAGGCTGAGCTAACATCATTTTGTGGCGAGTTCCACTGACGTATGGAGCATTCATAAAAGCCCATAAGCGAATGTATGTATTGTAAGAGATGACAATGGTAACTCTTTCATTCTTTGCGGTATATCTGCGGTATTTAAATGGTTCCCCTTAAAGAAGTAACTTTGGAAAATCTGCTAAAGTTTGATATTTCTTGGATAAAATGTTCTTAGTTCGTTGATATACTCAAGTGCATTACAACATCAACAACAACGCTTAACATTGATAGTGCTGTGCTTACACATAAACATATAATTGGCTTCATAATAAGCCAAGTTCTTTAAAATCTACAGGTCGAGATCACCGCCGATGTGTGAGCGGGATAGCATATCCTGATATCTTTATGGAGTGTGATCTTGTGTGGGTACCAACTAGTATCTGTGTGAGTTTAGGTAAAGTAGCATTAACACTCAAATTAGTATCGTTTCTATTCTACGTTCCAAATAATTTTGTTATTTACGACAGTTTCAGCTTTCATATTTTCCGTGTAACTTCATTAGAAGTTATCTTGATGAAGTTAGAATATAATTGGGGTAATTTAGAAAGTTTGAAGGTCAAAATAATATAATTCTATTACGAGTGTACTTACCTCATTTTCTGGGGAAAATTAAAATCTTTCCTTTTTATGAAAACTTTAACAAAATTAGGGTGTTCATTTCCTTCAATCTTGAAGACGATTGCTTAAGCTGACTAAGATAATAAACATAATAATAAGTTGGGGACAGGTGCAAAAATAATTGTGGGCATTTCGTATAAAGCCTGGCTTTTTGCGATAAATTACGACAATATTTCACATGGCGCTTGCCCGGCCCTCTTGGACCTCCCATCAAGGAGGTGCATCAATCAATGTAATCGGTCACAGTCCCTCAGAAGATGAAAAAAATGTAAAAACCCTTTATGACATATGAATTGATGAAGACATTTTGAAGCCGACGGGAACGCTCAAATCTTTTTTTCAAAATCGGTTATTTCACATAATCTACATGTAGTTCGTAATTTATTTTTGACAATGATAAAGTAAGCCATAACTAATTTAAAACAGATTCATACGAGGCAGGTGTACTTACTGACTGGTTTATTATGACTAAAGTTATTTCCAACTCTTTTATTCATTCCGCTTTGAATTCATCATTAACGTTGTCCTCCTTCGTTAGCATTCTACTACAACTAGCATAATTTGCTTTCGTCGCTCCGTCATTTACTTATTTAAAGGCAATTATTTTCAGTTCATACACCCACTTTCCCTTTCATAAGTTGCACCCACGCTCGGTGCAGCTGGGAATTATTCAAAATGCAATTTACGACAGAGTAACACAGTTTCAAGTTTCGCGAGATAACACGAACGTGCAGTGAAAACTGAAGCAGACTGTATTCCAAGTAGCCTAGTTGTGAGCACAACAGCGCATGTTCTTGGTACCAATTTTGTTTTCACTTCGCGTTTGCCACTGTTGCGTTAGAGCGGAAAATGTCCCGGGGCTCCAGGAAACTTGCTTTGCAACAAGTCAGTTTAAATTAAACAAGAAGTAACAGTTGACACACTGGTGGGAACAACTCTATGAGATTTGCTACAAAGATGAATCTAAAGCAGCTATAATAACCTCTCAGTAAAAATATTGAAAAATCACGCGTCCTGCGAGCCCCACCCAGCCTGCATACGAAATAAGAGTGCCGGCTGAAACGCCGTTTACAATTCTATTTTACGCCGCAAAAGCCGATATGAAAGTGCGAGCGCTTGGCAATATTAGGGGCCCTCAGTCATATAGGGCTCTGAATATTTCTTGCCAAAGGAGCCACATTTTACGTAAACGGGAAAGGACTCTGAGGGTTGCTTTTAGAGCCGGGAAAGCGGATTTCGGCGGGACTCCAGCTTAAAATATTTCGCAGTAGGTTTCAAACGAAATCGTGAATATTAATTTGGGTTGATGTATGTGATGTATTTTAAGGAATGTTATCATTGTAGGATTTTGGAAATGTAAATGTTATCCGATAAGTGATTCATGAAATAATTCACGTTGGAAAATATTCCGAGTTGAATAAAATTTTAGTTGGTAAAGTCATTATTGTGATTTTGTTGGACGACAGCGAATGTCATCATGTTGCAAGTATCAGGACGGGATCATTTGGTATTTAAATCGCAAGCTCATTAACATAACTATTAACAGCAGCTGACGTACGAGGGACAGCGTCAGTCACGATAAATAAATGAAACATTTAAAGTCTGTAAGTTAAATGCCAATCCAGTGCAACAAATTGTCAATTGAAAATAACATTGTGTTCAATTTGCGGAAATTAAGCATCAGAAACATAATAACAGTAAACTAAATACATTTTAATTGAAGCTCCTGCAATTCCTAAAAGCTCTGAAAATGTGAATGATTACAGTATTGCTTTTTTAAAAATTGTTAGTAAATAGCATGCACGTTAATGATAGGGAGCTATGAAGTAAATTAGAGATAGATAGAATAGCATACACATAACATGGCTGTCTCATTTGCCACTTACGGGGATAGAGGCCGGTTTGTTGACAACCACAATGTCCTCATCGATATGTACGAGGGTGATGGGTTGGCTGGTGACCGGTACTTCGTGCCTGCAACCATATACACGTCAGGCATTCGACTTCAGGAACGCTCCGGACGCTGAGCAAAACCTTCATTAGTTCGCAGAAACTACACACCGGCATAGACGACGAAATGTTTACATGGATGACATGTTAATTAACGGTCTAACTCAGTTTGCCCAACGTCAGGACGGACTGCCCATCATGTATGAAATACAGATTAGAGAACAAAACAACAGCAAATGAACATGCGTGAGCGAATACAATTTACGTTACGTGAAAGATGTGACACGACAAAGGCCGTTCTCAAGGCGACCCCGAGACAGAACGAGAAATTGTCCAAGTTGTAAAAGTCACAATAAAATTCAGTTTCGTTTGAGAAACGGTTATGTCCACTCACATGCTCATTCGGTGCTTAAGTCTCTTTTAAAAATACATTGTTACAATATGCTACATACAATTAGATTTAATAAAACAAGCTAATCTCCAGATTACAAACCAGCCGTTTAAGTATGCTGGTTTCGGGTTAGGGACATAAGTTCCGTATAAAACCATGAGACGTCACAATTTGTACAGGGACAACTTGTTATGTAGAAGATAATTGCAAGACCAGAAAGAGAAGTTGATGTTAATATACTGGATTAAAGTATTAAGAGAAAGATCGTGTCTGATGTCGTCCGTGTGTTGGGAACTATTGAGTGTAGTGTAACTCTAGTATTAGGATACTTATTCGAGTTGTATGTTCTAAGATATGAACCTATATCTATGTCTTAAAGCTATCTACAGTCGTTTAGGTGTGTGTGAGAAAGGGTAAGTACCTATGGACGACGTTAGCCAAGAGGTCGTTGTGCTTGAGCCGGTAGTCGGGGTCCACCCGTTCGTAGTTGACAGTGAGGGTGCCAGCCCTGATGCACCGTTCGTACTCAGCAGCGGGATGCGCCCTGAACTCCCGTGCAAACACATCCAGGATCTTCTCGCCGACCCACCTCCCTTTCGTGAACGTCGTGAACGTGAAGTAGTACGGATAAACTTTCCTGAGGCCTGCAAAGATTTTGTTAATTATAGCAAAACACGCTCCAAACTTCCAAACAAACACAAAATTAAAGAACAAACAACATGTTTCAACCGCATAACGAGCGGAGACACGTTGTTCGGTTTGCTTAAGAACTTTAATAAATTCCTTGGAGTAAAGCTTGGTGTAATAGCAAAATGCCTGCATAGCTGGAATGAGTACCGTAATGTTGGTAAAATTAAATTGAAGAAAAAACGGCAATGCGGTATGATGACTCAGGCCATTAGCCAATAATGGAGCGCTCCAACCCCGATAGTGTAATGCTAACTATGTGGATAGAAATAAATTACTTAAGATATTTTATAACATGGTATTAAGCCACGTGATGCATTAAGGTAATATGACTTGAAGTGTTTTATGAATTAGTTTCTTAAGAAACTATTTTGTTCCGTAATTTGATTATGCCGTGCGACTTTTGCTTTGTAACATTTGAGTAGGTATTGTTATTCATATTTGTTGTAAGTGCTGTGAATTATAATAATATGCCTGTATTTCATTTAGTAGCGGTGTAACGAAAATAAAAATGAACGTTCCCCAATTCCGCTGGTCTGGAACGACGCGTGTACCGCAAGATTGATTGGCTCCCATTTGGTTCTAAAACAAATTCATCAGAAGCGACACACGGAACGGGGCGACGCGACGTTGCGAGAAAGTCATGAAAATAAAATTATCAGTGGAGTTTCGGGGGATTGATGTAATCCAATAACTTGCGAAGATTATGGGACGTCTCTTAGCGGAATCAAAGGGATTATGGATGGAGCTAAATTGAAAAAGAACATTCCCTGGAATACTCCGAGCGTGATTAAGTTTTGGGAATACAATTCGAGAACGTTGTAAGATAATGGCGGAGTTACGGATTTTGCGAGTAGAAAAATGTTCGCCATTAAAGTATGAAAGGGAAGGGATTCATTAGATGGGATTAGATGTAATGTATAAGACATAAGGCTACGTTACATAGTTATGTTAAGAAAAGACTATTGGATTTGTTCGTACGGTTCCGAGTATTAACAGGATACCTTGGGGCTTATTTGAATGTAGGAATATTTACAGATTTTTTACAAATACCTATGGACAGAAGTATGTAAGCTACAACTGATTACCTACGCCATGGACATTTTAAAACTAAATTCTTGAATTTAAAAATGTTTTCAGTCTTTCATCTGGTTTATCAAAGTAGGTATAAAATAATAGACTTACCATTTTCCATGTAGTACGAGGTCTCGTTGTAACGATCATCTGTGAAGCCGGGCCGCTTTGCTTTCAGAGCCTTGGTCTCCAACTTAGCCTGCAACAAATAATAATAAATTACTAATTAATAATAATATAATAGGGATGTTTCCTGGGTAAAAAAGCAAGAGTTTTAATTAGTCCGTCAGTTAACTTATCAAAAAATACTCTACACGTATTTTTCACTTTTAATGAAAATTTAAAGAGATAAAGCGCGCCAAAGTTCATAAGAAGAGGCCCGTGACGTCAATGCGTGCATAAAAGTGCCGCACGTTGTGCTTCAACGGAACTTCAACGCACCATAACTATGTAATTATTTGTTAGATTGACAAATAAAAATATATGTGTCCAATATTTTTCGATATTAAACATGACGGACTAAAAAAATTTTTTTAGGAAACTAGCCTATTAATGAACATTTTTTATTATTTGGTTACATGGTTGAAATAGCAGACGCTTTGCTCTACCTGTCATTTATAATGCTTGCTATAGCTAGGAGTTAAATTTGTCTAAAGAGTGTTTTTCAAACTCTCATGGATTATGTTGCCCAAATCTCTGTTGATTTAAACTTTCATTCACCGTGCTTTTGAATTAAGAGAGCTTTGAATACATGAGTAAAAGGAAATTTTAGAATTGGTCATTTTATTATTAGCATTAGGTCTTTTTATATGTAGTAAGAGTATACATAGCATTTCGTAACTACATTGCTGATATTATCTTTTAAGAATTTTTAACAATAAATTTACATAAGGCGTGTATCCTGAATTGGTACTAAGAACTTGATTGAAACTCTAGTTTGATAAAAAAGTAATAAAAAAGAATTTTGTTGCCTAGTACTCCATAGTAAATAAGTTTAACTTGGGACTAGATGACACTGTAATTTTACTTTTAAAATTAACATTATTTGCTTCCAGGTGAATGTGAGTTATTATTGTAATTCAAACAGCCGCAGAATAAATTCCAGTAACAGGTAAATTCGTCTCTCAAGGTTAAGAATAATCTCTAAGCAAGCGAATACAATACTGAAACAAGACCCAAAACAAGATTTGGTGTAAAACATCTCAATGAAGACATACCATTTGTTAACAACCATAAAAACCATTCAATGTTTCACGAGCGAAACAGCACGGAAAATAATTCAGACAAATAATAATAGATTGACGGAGTATTCGTCGAGTTTCAGCTGAAATCGTGTTAAAAACTGGACAAGGGCGTCTTTATGTCAGGATCATGGGTTCCGTAGCTTTATTTTCTGTATAAAGGAGTAATAAACCATTTTATTCAGTCTAAAACCTTGGTAAAGTTTTATTGGAAAACTCTGGAAGGTTAGTGCGACACAACTATGGCGTCAAAAATATGACGTTAATTTAAAAACGAAGCTTCCTTTGCTTGGTTAAAAAATATATTTTTTTATTAACTGACACTTTTGTGATAGTTCTATTGACAATATTATAATAAATTGATTAAGAGCACGTTTATCACTTGGTTGTAAGTCTCTGAAAAAGTTGTAAGTATACTTGTAAGTCGGATAAGTTATATTTCACAAGTCTCAGGCAGAAAAAGTTGTCGGTAATTAGATCATTAAAACATCAAATTCTTGCAATCGCATCTTCAAATCAAACACATTTCTAGATTACTCGTACACCAAACCACTGTGAAATCACTTCCCCCCATCTGCCGAAGGAACCCCAAAATGTCTGCGGGGGAGTGATGCCCCTCGCAGCAAAATGAGAAAAGTTTTTTAAACGAAACAATCCGATGCGCCATTGTTTCGAACGCAAAACTCGTGAATCGCACGACATTTTTCGAATACTTTTTCAGGGCAGGTTAACATGGTATTGATTTTAAATGGGTGCTTTAAAATTCGCTCTTTGGGATTATAAGTGTCCGTTCTGTTTTTTCTGCTTCATTCAATTTGCTTTTTGTTTGTGATTTTTGAACTGGTATTTCAATAGACTACAATAGAATCTCATATCTGAAATGTCAATAACATTTTGAAAAGTACCTGTAGTATTCAGGTGTTCATTGGGAATTCATAAAGTGATTTCGTATGAAACGAATGTGTTGGAGTACAAAATTGACGTTCGACGATTGTTAAAATTGTCTCATATGTATCATGAGTAGAATCTTATATTAAAAGGATGCCAACGATTTAAATTTCACCCTGTAGGTATAAATATTGCAATGGAAAATAATTTGCCTTATATTTTTAAAACGTATACATTGTAATTACCTACAACACAGCTGAGCGATTGTCGAATCAGACCCGCATTTTCGGAAACAAAGATGATTTTTCATCACGGCATCCGTAGCATCGGCATTACTGCGGTGGTAATTGAAATTTTAATTGACAACATACCGAACGGGACAAAATAATAAAGGCTCATTGTTCCGTACAATAACGTATCAGACGTATTTCGCATGCCGTGGAGGTTTTAAGGATTATTTTTGATATTTTCGTGTTAGATATTTTATTTGTAGAACATAAATGCTTGGTTTAAAACAAGACTGCAATGGGCTGAGTGTGAGTTTACCTACATCAAACGCGCTCACTAGTGAGCGCGTTTAAAAAATGTATGAAAAATTTAGTTTTTGAACGTTTCCCGCTAGGGGCGCTATACAATCCGTCATACATATAATGTCATTTTTTGACGCGCTCACTAGTGAGCGCGTTTGATGTAAACTCACACTAGGCCCTCAGAAAGAAGGAGCTCCTGAATTCGGTCGGTAGGATGTTTTTTAATAAATGTTTAGAAAGGGCCCTAAAATTCAGTTTGAATTGTTTCAATTTGTATTTTGATAGTCGCGTTACGAAATTACATTTGGGTACTTAAATATTGTATTGAAATTGTAGCCAATTATCTTCTCAGGAATATGAATCAAATTCAAGAAGCGAGAGTAGATAGAATAAATATGATAAGGAATATTATTCCCCCTCAAATCTCTGACCAGCGTGGGAGTGGGGAGTGTAAATCTAATCAAATCTAATCTTTAACCGCCTCTGTGGTCTAGTGGTAAGACCACCTGCTTCAGACGCAGAGGTCCCGGGTTCGATTCCCAGTGGGGGCAGATTTTTCTGTTTGGTTTCGTTGGTGTTAGGGCTTGTTTTAAGTCCGCCAGGCTAGCTACTACCATCTTACCTAAGTCTGTCGCCATAACAACAATGTTAACAGCATTATTGTGTTCCGGCAGCTAGAGGTAAGGTAGCCAGTTCCTCCGTAGTTGAGGATTCCGGGTGAAGCTCGCTTCCACCTTCGGCCTGGTCGTCACTTACCATCAGGTGAGATACAGGCCAAGAGCTTCCTCGTTGTGGATAAAAAAAATGTTTTCTTCAAATAGAGAGGGTCGCTCCTGAATTAGAGATTTTTGACGTTTGTCAAAGTTAAAGTAAGATGGTGCAACTGAGCCTAATTTTGCCCTGATGACGATGATGAGATTTGCACCAATCCCAGTCTTGAACCGGTTTTGTTAATAAAGAAACTTTTACTTAAGAACTAGCAGTTAATTTCTAAACTAATTGGGCCGTTGTTATTTTTACGAACCACCCTCAAAGCCTAGTGGTTGGAATGCGCAATCAACGAACATAAAAATAATTCGCTTTTACAGTTATGACTGAAAATGGTGAGGCAATTTAACTTTGACTTTAACTTGGGGGTTAAATCATTAAGTAGTTTATGTTAGTTCACTAACGAGTTCCGAAAGAACAGTCACCGAAACATGGAAGTGGGTAACTTACGACCGTATTCACAAACATTACTATGAGGTCTCACAGCGTGCGAGGACGAACAGGGCCTCAAATACCCATTCATAGATAATACTTGATTAGCGGAGTGACACACATGAACTAATCACAGAGCTCTATTCAACGCTGTGCGTTCGACTTGGCCTAGCGTTGCTGATTCACTTAAGCAAGCATCGTTTGTGAATTCGGGTGTTATTGTTTTCTTTTTCTTCTATCAGGTGAGTTGCAATAACCTAAGTCTAATACCAAAGAGGTGACAGACCTATTGAACTCTGGTAGTTCGTCGTAAGCGTCTGACATGGCTGCCACCTGTGGGAATCGAACCCAAAACGAGAAAGTCTCATGGCCGTTTTCACCATCAATCCCTAATCTTTAAGTGACTCCTATGAAAACAAAATTCCTGTTATCTGTTATAGGGATCACTTAAAAATTAGGGATTGATGGTGAAAACGGGCATCACTCTCTTAGCAAAAGGGAGGCGAGTTCTGTGGCTAAAATGATGATGATTTTTATGAGCTTTATTAAAGTCTGGTCCGTGAGCATATACAGGGTGTTACTTTGCATTCTTGCCATATTTACAGAGGTTACTATATTACTGATACTGAACACAAATCCGTAAAAAAATAATGTGCGAAAATTTTTTTTTTTTTAATCTTGAGTATTTTATTTTATCGACAATCTGTTAAACACACCACTAATTATCGTAACGCATGCACATCACTTGTTGGCGATGGCGATGGAGACTTTTTTTTTTACTTTTTATTGTATTTTTAAATATCTATTGCAATCTATTGTCTTTAAAATGTCTTTTTGACACTTGTAAAAAACTGAGAAATCCATCAAACACAAATCACGTTATAAATAATACAAAAATGTATGCTCACGTGACATTGGCAAACGTGGAAACACAGTAGCCATAGAGGAGAAGAAGAAGAAGAAGTAATACAAAAATGACTGAAGTGTATTCAAACAACGAATAATTTAATCAAAATGGTGCTTGGAGTGTCTGCAAGACATAATTACGCGCGAGCGATAAGGATGGATAGCTTGGGGTTTATGGACAAAATTCTACGCGCTCACGGACCAGGCTTTAGTTAAGTTGACATTTGAAATATCTGAAGACCGATGCGTTGCCCGTCAATTTAAATAATCATCATGCCAATAGTCATCATCATCATCAGCGATTCCTATCGCTCATCCACGGCTGAAAATTCTAGTAGACTGCTCCAAAGAAAATAGTACCTAGTACGTTTTTAAAGTCCCCAATGAGACCAAGCAATGAGCACTTCTACAAAAGTTTCCTTTACGTCTCTGCA